AGAGAGAGAGAGAGAGAGAGAGAGAGAGAGAGAGAGAGAGCATCATTACTCCATCAACACCCCTCAGAGTCAGTGGAGAGCAGTGAGCACCTGTGTGAGAGTTGCAGAGTAGCAGTATGTTTCCCGCTCCGCATCTTCTTCGCGTGGCTTTCAATTAATGCGCTCAACATTTCTGGAGGACTTCTCTTTTCCAGCTCATGCGAGATCTCAGCTGTCTTTGGAATGATGGGAACCTTACATGACAGCATTGGATTTGTGCTCTTTTCCTGTTTGTCCATTCAAGTTGGATTTTCTCTTGACGGTAAGAACATTTACGGCTGAAAATACATTTACGGACTTTTAATGCATCACAGCAGTCCGCAATAGTACACCAAATGATCAACTCTAAAGATGCTCTCAATGGCTATTTTACAGTTAAAACTACTGCTGCATGCATTTCTGCAGCGCTCTTTAAACAGTAAGTGACAAAAGTTATAAATACGCCAGCCTGCAGTCCGTGACGAGCAGAGGAATAGAAAAATCAACTGTTGATTTCGGGAAAACTCGTTCAATGTCTGCGTATCGTCTCGTATCTGTCCTTCCTCTCCACATGAACTCGTGCTATGTGTCTTTGCCAGCATTATAGGTAGTAAAGGGTAATTTTGAAGGAACAGCACGCGCGACTTGCATCTCAAGTGGCGGATGCTCAGAACTGGGCTTCGTTAAACGGACTGCGGCTGTTTTTCAGCACCTCGGACAGCGCTCATTAAAGCCCTGATAAACGCAGCTTCATTTCATTCCATTTCACAAAGACAGACACTGCTCCACGAACACGTCCATTCCAGTCTGAAGTATTAATTCATATAGTTTCATCAATACATTTGGCTCGTCCCAAAAAGAAAAGGAGGGGAAAAAGAGGAAAAGAGAGGAATCTATCTATCTATCTATCTATCTATCTATCTATATCTATCTATCTATCTATCTATCTATATATATATATATATATAATGTCATATAATGTGTTTTACACAAAATATTTTAATAAATTATAACAACTTTGTTTTATTCAATACATTTATTGATTGTTTATTATTATTATTATTATTATTATTATTATTATTAACATTTTTTTTAATTACAGTTGATGATGTTTAATGAAAACAGAAGATTAATTATTTTAAATTAATTGTATTTTTTGCTGTATTATTATTATTATTATTATTATTATTAAATAAGATTATAAGGTTGTATAAAAATTAAAGAGTTAAATAAAAACACTGGTAGACTGTTAAATTGTTATGTCTCTCTTGCAGGAAAGTTTACCGATTTCCCTACTAACATCACTGCAAGGGAAGGACAGAATATTGAAATGGCATGTGCCTTTCAAAGTGGGATGTCTTCGGTTTACTTAGAGATCCAGTGGTGGTTTATTCGAGCTCCGGAGGAACTGATTACAAGCGAGGAGAATGAGGACGATACGGAGGTAATAACATTTTATGCACGGGTTAAGCAAGGGTTAATCGCTCATAACATCATTCCTTAACTACCCAGCCTACAGGAGAAACCTCCTAAGCATCCTTGGCACGTTGCATGAATTTCTCTCTTTTTGACGCACCTAGTGGATACGCACGCATCCATTTTATCCACCCACTCTTTGCACTTTTAAATGACTGGGTGAACGGTTTTGCTCACCGTCACTGAACTGCTTCTCACTTGTTGTGTTTGCATTGCTACTGGTTCCCTTCTGCTGCAAAGCCACCTCAGCAATTAGTTTCACTCATGTGTCCTTCTGAAAGGCAGAGTGTGCAAAATAATCCTGTATTCCCACTCATGTCACATAATTAGAGCCCCTAACCCTCCACGTCAAAACACACACTTACACAGCACACAATACATGTCAGAATAATCAGTTGTTTTGCTCAAGGATGTTGTCTTGCCTGATTCACGCTTTGTGATTCATACCGAATGGAAGACTCCTAAGGCTTTGAGATCCACAACAAAATCGCTATGACGTGCTTGTTTGGTCTTTTGAAGGACAAAACGCAGAAGTGAGGCCTATGCGAATGACATCATTCCATGGTCCAACGTGTGTGTTAGACGCCACTGGCTGACTGTCAACAAGTGTGTGTGTGTGTGTGTGTGTGTGTGTGTGTGTGCCTTTGTTTAGAGCTGTTTCCGTGTGACGTGACTCAATGTTTAATGACAAAACATCAACAAATGATCTGAGTCAGTGCCTTGTTTTTATGCATATGCCAACATGGCAGGCTCACCTAGTCATTTCTGTTGAGAGATGTCTTTATAGTAGGCTTACAGTGCAGTTTGAGATGTATTCTCTTTTTGCATTTGCAGTTTGTCATCATCAACATCAAACAAGTTATTTTTCATTTGATAAATGCACGAGAAGAAGAACATCCCTTTTTGTTCCTGCTCAGATTTAACACTGCCATTACTAAGCTATTGTTGTCTCTCATCACGCACATATTGCCAAGGCTTTGATCCATGGGATCTTTCAATTTGGAGAAGCTGTAACGCTGAAAGTGGCGTCGCTGATTGAATCTCATTCTTCTCTGAGCATTGTGCATGGAATGACATGCAGCTGGGTCCCCGGCGAGGCGAAATCTGACAAAAATGAGGATCGAAGAGACGTCCTACAAAAAGACATCCAGCAATAATAAGAAGGGTGACACGAGCCAATGGCTTCTGATGTATAATATCGAAGCGTTCACCTCTATTAGGAGTGATATCGCAGCACAGTGAAGGACTGCAGTGGTGCCGTCGCTGTGTCACTGTATCATCTATAATGGATATGATCCTGAATGCCATCGATATCGCTATTGCTGACAGCCAAATGCACAGAGCTTCCCTGTGCTATTAATAGCTGTGAATGAGAGATAGTACAGATTCTGCTCTGTAACGATACATAAGGACTCACCTCTAGTTAGGCCAAAGCACTTTGCTGTAATCTGCAACCGATTGCTGCATCCCAGTCGTTGAAAGTCTCTCCACATGCTTACTCAAATCAGATAAATCATTGCACATCTCTGATGTCCCATAGCAAGACAAGAGGCCATTTACCAAAAGAGCTACGGCCCACATAAATGCAAATGATAATGCAATTTCGAATGCAAAGATCTACTTTATTTGCATACTTATGGGAGCCTTACGGGCTGAAGTTCATTCTTTCTGATGCTCTCCGGCGAATTAGCTGGATTTATTCCAGCCCGTCGTGTTCTTTTGTGAACTTTGCTGCGCCTTGCTGTCGTTTGTCAGGGAAGTTTATTAATCCAAACATTATTCAGAAAGAGATCGAGACTTGGGTAGAGACTGACATTTTTAGCCGAGCGCTGCATACCTTGACGCTGCTGATGGATGAATGCGAATGCAGGGGGAATTAGAGGCTGTCAAATGTGAATTATCAAACAACATGTTTTTATCATCACTGTGCTTTTGTGCTACGATGACTAGTCATGGCAATACCTCGAATCATGCAATTACGGCTGCTCGTCACACATTCAGAGGGTTTTATTAAATAGAAAAGGCACTGCGCGTCTAAAACTACTGAAATGTCAGGACTGGCTGTGTGATATAGAGTTTATGTGTTTAGATTGGCCTTGGTTCTTAACCTTTACATTTTTCGAATCAAATGATGGTAATAAGAAATATCAGAATTGTGCAAAATAATTAATTTAGGCTGTGCATAAACACAGAAGAGTCTCGGTTAAATTGAACTGAACAAAAGGATCTTGTTAAGACTTAATAGCATGTGTTGACTTACCTTTCTTGATCTTTCTTTAAGGATAAATTCCCATTGGTGTCTGAGACAAGAAAATAGCAGTTCTTCCAGCTGAAAGACGATAGATCCATCAGTGTAATCATAATATGCACATAGATTGGCTGCGAGAAAGGATCATGCAGAGTCAAGCACAGCAGCTGCATTAAATTGATCAAAAGTGACAGTAAAGACATGTATAATGTTACTAAAGATTTCTATTTTTTTTTTTAAATGCTGCTCTTTTGAACTTTCTATTCATCTGTGAATCCTGAAAAATAAAATGCATCACAGTTTCCACAAAAATATTGTGCAGCACGACTGTTTTCAACATTGATAATAATCAGAAATGTTTGTTGAGCAGCAGATCAGCATATTATACTGATTTCTGAAGATCATGTGACACTGAAGACTGGAGTAATGATGCTGAAAATACAATAAGTTACATTTTAACATTCACATACAGCTATTTTAAATAATAATAATATTTCACAATATTACAGTTTTTCCTGTATTCATCATCAAATAAATGCAGCCTTGGTGAAAATAAGAGGCAGTTTTATATACTAGTGTATGTATAGATTAACTATAAGACACAAATATATATTTTTATAACTGTTGAATAAGTGGCATCTATGCAGAATGACAAATATCATTGCCAGATTGCATTGCGATGCATAAATCCATCATGGCAGGTGAAATGACAGAATAGTTGGTTATATTTAATTTATATAATATAGTCGGTTCATGGTTAATTTAATGTGATTAGTTTTAAATAAAATAACTATTTTGGCAATGGTATGAAAACAAAACAATATTTTAAATTCTAAAGCTACAATACTTTTGTCTGAGTGCTTTTTGTCAGCAAATATTGAGAGGCAATTGATAGTATTCATCCCATTTGCTCTCTCTCTTTCGTTTTGCATATACTGTATATTTACTTACTGCAGTCCCTGTTTCTTGTGAAAGTGATGTGATTGTGTGCAAGACTTGTAGCATTTGGTGCCGAAACAAATTTAACTTGGAAATTGCTGGTAAATTTAACAAAAGAGTTGTTTTGCATTGGATTTAATGTGATATTTTGAAGTAGAAAGACTGAAATAATATTTTATTTTAAAACATACTCCACTAATCTTTGTTTTGCTTTTAAAAATCATTTTTGACAGTGTATACTGATCATCCCAAACCACTCATTTACAAGGTTAGGCTCACTGTCTATGCAGGCAGCACACTAGGGTTTGGAACACGTTCTAGTGTCCATATTGATCCGAGTTGACAAGAAATTCATCGGACAGACATTCGCCAGTGTCTCTCTAAATCCTGAGCAGCGCTGTTGCTCGTGGCATGACTGAAGCCATTTTCAGTCATGTAAAGCTTAATTGACAGCTACCGCTGATACTGCCACTGCACAAGGAGACGACGACGACGTTTTATCACTTAAGATTTCACACAAACGTCTGCTTTTCCACGTTGGAAACGAACGGCCGATCTCGACAGCACACTCCCTACCAGTACAAACTAATGCAAAATCCAAACCATCTGCTCTGCCTCTCTTTATAGCCCAATTACCACCCAGCTCTCTATCTACTGTAAGTCCCTCCGCCAGACTTTTAAAGACAATAAGCTCTGAAGGTCAATGAAAAGTGCGTGCCTCCGATAGATGCATCCATCAGCTCAGCCTATTGTTAGGCCAGACACATTCATAATCAATGTAATGCTGCTCTGATTAAGCCCCCCATCTGTGTACGCGACCAACTCTGAACCAACCGTGTCCGTTCACAGATTTCTGACCTTGAGCCGAGTCGAGACCGGAGAGTGCATAAAGAACCTACAAATGCTCAGAAAACAGAGCCTTACTTCAGTCTACACTCAGAGCTTATTACTGAGTGTCAATAATGACACAGATATGGGCTTAATTGGAAGAGCTGCATGTCAGTTATTAGACAGAGTTCATTTACAGCACGAACTGGGACTGCTAACACACGGTGGACTTTAATGAAAAGCTTATTATGATTGTGACGCTTACAACTGAGGAACGCAATTAATGCTTGTAAAATTGCATTGGAATCTCAGAAGTCATAAACATGTTGACAAGTCAGCGAGTCTCAAACTTTAATATGGAAATGTCATTGTGAGTCTGCTGCGATCAGCTGCATCAGTTTAGTGCTTAGAAGAAATCTTACTAACATAATGTACTGTACATGCCACCAGAGAGTTTAAGGCAGGAGTAGTACGTATGGTTTCAACCACAATTTTTCATTAGCAGTACTTGCTCAGAGTTTCTCAGTCCCGCTGGGCTTTAGCACTGGGATGGATGTCGTGATCGCTGAAAATGGCTGCTAATAGACTCTGAGTTGAGATGGGGGTGTTTTGAGAGAGCGCTAATTTCAGCACAGCTTTATACTGTAGTGTCGCATTTAAATTGAAATGGATTTTCTCCCCTTAATGTTACAAAAGATTTATATTTCTAATAAATGCAGTTCTTCTGAACTTTCTATTCATCTGTGAATCCTGAAAAATAAAATGTGTCTCAGTTTCCACAAAAATATTGTGCAGCATGACTGTGTTCAACATTGATAATAATCAGAAATGTTTGTTGAGCAGCAGATCAGCATATTATACTGATTTCTGAAGATCATGTGACACTGAAGACTGGAGGAATGATGCTGAAAATACAGCTGCGCATCACAGAAATACATTACAGTTTAACACAT